ATCAATTGTTATTCAGCCAACTTAGCACTCATCCAGCCCCCAAGGGTTGAAAAATTCGTGGGGTGGCCCCCACCCATGTGGGAGGTCATCCAAATTTGTCCCAAAGTGTACAATTTGCCCCGAAAGTTGTATTTTCCGGACTGTTTTAGATATATTTTATTTTATCGGGTTAAATAAATATATTACGTGTTCTTAATCATTATAACATTTAGAATGAATATGCATTCCCCAACTTTAATTTATAAGTCTCCAAAATCCACTTTCGGGCTTTTATCTGATAAGTTTATCGATACCGGTATTTGGGCCTCTATTGACCAATCGGTCAACTCTGGGCCTTTCCATGGCCCAAATGAAGTATCCACCATCTATAAATATTTTCTAGACCCAGATGAATATAATATGTGGTCCCGATAATATCGGGCGGTCCCCACTCCCGATGTGGGCCCCACGTGCATTTTACTATTCACGCGAAAATTTAATACAAATTCACAACCTCGTAAATTCACTAAAAATTTCATAGGGTTCAATAAATTATTCGCTTAAAGATAAATACATTTGGGGACGGTGTTACACCGTTGCAGTTAATACACTAAATTTTGACTGTTTCTAGTCTTATATTGTTGATGTAGGTCATAGGGTTTGAGTATGGTCCACCCCGGGGGTGAAAAACCGGAGCCACGCACGCGTGCGTGCCTGCTACGCACGTCGTGCGTGGCACCCAGACTGCCTAACATGGGATTTTTCATGGCGTTTTGCGACGTTAAGACCTCTCCTTGACCCCAAACATGTGCATGAGCATAATAAACCTCCATAAATGTATAACTATGGTAGGAAAGGCATCTTACTTAACTGATAAATGTAGGAACACTAAGGATTAACGGGATAAATGCAAGAATCCTTATTGATACGGGGGCGCAACGATCATTTGTGAGTGAGTCGTTCGCAAGAGTGTTCAACAAACCGCCTATACCGATGACTCAAACTCTATTGGTTTCCACACCTTTGGGGGATGACATCGAAAGAGATAGCCATTATCCCTCGTGTGAAGTGGAAGTAGAGGGCCAAACCTTGACGTGTGATTTTGTACCCTGGGTATGATTGAATTTGATGCAATCCTCGAGATGGATTGGCTTGAGAAGCATCATGCCTGGGTCGATTGCTACACAAAGGTCCTCGAACTCGAAGGCAGTGAAGGATTGATCCTACGCTTTGAGGGAGATAGGGGCAAAGACACCGGTTGTATCATATCCGCCGTGAGAGCACGAAAGATAATGAAGAAAGGATGCCACACGTACCTTGCTTACATGGTGGATGAGTCAAAGGAAGAAGTCGACATCAACGATGCATGTATCATGTGTAAGTATCCGGACGTCTTCCCCAAAGACTTATCGGGAGCTTCCACCCGATAGGGAAATCGAATTCGTGATCGAAGTAGAGCCGGGAACCAAGCCCATTTTGAGTCCTCCTTATCAAATGGCACTGGCAGAACTTCAAGGGTTGAAGGTCCATTTACAAGAGCTATTAGACAACGGATTCATTAAACCTAGCCATTCACCGTGGGGGGCACCGGTACTCTTCGTGAAGAAGAAAGACGGTACACTAAGAATGTGCATCGACTACCGACAACTGATTAAGGTCACTATCAAGAATAGACATCCTCTACCAAGGATTGATGATTTGTTTGACCAACTTTGTGGAGCAATGGTTTTCCCAAAGATCGATTTGAGGTCGGGCTATCACCAATTGAAGATCAAGGAAAGTGGCATACCTAAGAGTGCATTTCGCACTAGATACGATCACTACGAGTTTCTAGTGATGTCATTTGGTTTAACCAATGCACCGGCGACATTCATGAACTTGATGAACCGTGTGTTTAGTGAGTACTTAGATCAGTTTGTGATTGTATTCATTGATGACATCTTGATATACTCGAAGAACGAGGAAGAGCACGAACATCACTTAAAGCTTGTACTTGAATGACTAAGGAAAAAACTAGAAAAAATTCTACTTTTGGTCACATGACTATTATACCACTTCCACATTCAGTCCCTTACTTTCAAATTGTCCACATTTAGTCCATGACCATTATCCCCTCACCACCTCTCATCCTTCCGGCCAAAATTCCGGCAAATTTAGTCCACTTATCAGCCTCAGAATCAGTCTTTGCATTAAATTTTATATAAGGTTGGGTTTTTCATATCAATCTTTGCATTAAATTTGGTTTTACATACCTAAAATCTGCATTAAATTTGCTGGATATAATAGTAATGGACCAAAAGTGTTTTTTTTCCGAAAAAACAACTCTTGGCCAAGTTCTCTAAGTGTGAATTTTCGCTCAAGGAGATTGGCTTCCTCGGTCATATCATATATGGTTCGGGCGTTGCGGTGGACAACGCCAAGATAACAGCCATCAATGATTGGGAGAGACCCAAGAATGTGAAAGAGATACGTAGTTTCCTTGGCTTAGCGGGTTACTATCGTAAATTTGTTGAGAAATTCTCCGTGTTGACGTCACCACTTACAAAGCTCACGAAAAAGGGGGCTAAGTTTGTATGGGACGACAAATGCGAGAAAGGGTTTCTTGAGCTAAAGAAACGACTTACTGAGGCGTCAGTTCTTGCCCTACCCATACAAGGTATAGGGTATGACATTTACAGTGATGCTAGCATCCAAGGGCTTGAATGTGTACTAATGCAGAAGGGCAGGGTGATTGCCTATGCTTCTAGGCAATTGAGGAAGCACGAGGTGAACTACCCTACCCATGACCTGGAGTTGGGGGCGGTAGTGTTTGCACTAAAGATTTGGAGGCATTATCTCTACGGGGAGACATGACACATCTACACCGATCATAAGAGCTTGAAGTATGTATTCACTCAGAAAGAGTTGAATATGAGGCAAAGGAGATGGATGGAGTTGATCAAGGACTATGACTTGATCATCGACTATCACCCCGGGAAGGCCAATGTAGTGGCCGATGCACTGAGCAGGAAGGGTACGTCGGGGGCGTTACTCATATGCCTACGAGCATTACGGGCACACGTGGAGGTGTCCTCGAGCGGGGCACTCATAGCGAGATTTGAGGTTAGACCTGCGTTGCTGAGTGAGATCAGTAGAGGTCAAGGTATTGATGAGGAATGTCAGAAGGTCCGCGAACGGATCCTTGCGGGGCCCGTTGAGGATTTTTGGGTACGTGATGATGGCCTTTTATTGTTCAAAGATCGTGTATGCGTACCATAGAATGAGGAGCTCCGGAAATCCATACTTGAGGAGGCTCATTCTTCAACCTATGCTATGCATCCAGGAGGTACAAAGATGTACTGAGACCTGAAGGAAAGTTATTGGTGGTCTGGTATGAAGAGGGACATCGCGGAGTATGTGAGTCGATGCCTTACTTGTCAACAAGTTAAGGCGGAGCATCAGCACCCGACGGGACTTTTACAGCCACTTACCATTCCAGAATGGAAGTGGAAACATGTGACCATGGACTTTGTGGTAGGGTTACCACAGACGGTGGACAATTACGATGCGGTGTGGGTGGTGGTTGATAGGCTTACCAAAAGTGCACACTTCTTACCTATCAACATCACTTATCCTCTTGAACGTTTGGCCAAGTTATACTTGGAAGAGATTGTGAGGTTGCATGGGGTTCAAATATCCATTATCTCGGATAGGGACCCACGATTTACGTCCAGATTTTGGCCAAAGCTTCAAGCATCATTGGGAACCAAACTGAATTTGAGCACAACGTTTCACCCTCAGACGGATGGACAATCCGAGCGGGTATTACAGATTTTGGAAGACATGCTTAGGGCATGTGCGCTAGAGTTCCAAGGGAGCCGGGACAAACACTTGGCTCTTGTAGAGTTTGCCTATAACAACAGTTATCAGGCGAGTATTGGCATGCCTGCATACGAAGCATTGTATGGGAGGAAATGCAGGACACCATTGTGCTGGGACGAGGTTGGCGAGGCCAAACTCGAGGGCATAGAACTTGTTGAAATCACCAAGGCTAAGGTGAAGGTCGTCCGGGATAGGCTTAAGGTTGCCCAAGATCGGCAGAAGAGCTATGCCGATAAACGACGTAGGCCGTTGGAATTTGCAGTTGGTGACGAGGTAATTCTAAGGATTTCTCCTTGGAAAGCTATCATCCGGTTCATATCGAGGGGTAAGCTTAACCCCCGATACGTTGGTCCGTTAGAGATCCTTGAAAGGATTGGAGCCGTGGCTTATCGGCTCAAGTTGACACCTGAACTTGATAAGATACAAGACGTATTCCATGTATCCATGCTCAAGAAGTATGTACGAGATCTGTCTCATATTCTTGAGAACCCACCCGGTGGAGATCCGTGAGGACTTGCAATATGTGGTGGAACCGGTGAAGTTTGTTGGTCAACATGTGAAAAAACTTATGAACAAGGAGATTCCTATGATCAAGGTACTTTGGAGGGGTGATTGAGTCGAAGAGGAAACTTAGGAGACCGAGGTCTCAAGGTATTGTGTGTACCACGTAGTAATAAAAAATAAAAAAGGTGTCGTTATTCGTTATCTTTAATTGATACGGAGTAATTAATAAAAGGCCGTCATATACGGATATAGCTTACCCGTAACAAAAGAAAGAATTTCAAGAAAGAAAAATTAAAGATCCTTAGCTGTTATGCACGGAACATATCTTCTGGTTATTTAATAGTGGAAAATAATAGATTTACCCGGCAAAACGCACTCTTGACTCATTCCCAGCAATTCTCTCCCCCCAGCATATATCGCCTAACTGGAAAACCCACCGCTTACGCAAAGGGAGAGAAAAAGCTGGAATGATGAAGGGGGTTTGGGAGCTCATCATCTTCTGCATTTGCCTTTTTCTGGGTGCCGCTGTGGAGGGCCATGAATTTGCCGAGGAGTTCTTCTTCAATAAAACAGAGTTGCCATTATTGGAATCTGTGCCCAATAATGGAGCTGCCGACACTAATCCCACCCCTCGCTTGGTTCCCCTTACTCTTATTCAAGGAGCTGGCGCTAAAGGAGCTGGTATTTTGCTTATATTCACAGTTGCTTTTTATTACAGAAATGATTAGGGGAACTTTATTTCTTTTCTTCATTAGCTATTAGGAGTATTACCTATCCTTTTGCTTTATTTCACTTCTGGTTATGTGTTCCTTATCGGCATGTATCTGTATTGGGTCTATTTTGTTACGGAGTACTTATTATGATGACGAAAATTTGTACCAGATGAAGACTACTGGGTTTAGTCCGGCTGAGTAATGAGAAACATAGATCTGGTTCAAATAAAAAGTAGTTCTTAGATGTAAAACGAGAACTAATCGTCATCTCATCTGAACGGATGAATTGAAGAGATAAATTTTAAGTAAAAACAAGGTGGTATGATACTATTATTATTTTAAATTAAAATACAGTGACAAAAGTGCATCCCTTTACCGTATATAATAAAATAACTAATAAGTATATCTCTGTATAACAGAAGTGCAATATAATGTGAAATATATTGCACATTAGTACAAAAGGTGATAACTTTTTTAAGGGTTATGAGTATACTTTCACGTAATCAAAATGCACTTTATATGATAGAGTTCCACATTGGTGGTCAACACATTTACAAGCTGTCACCGTTTTTTCCATGGAAAGTTCATCTAATCCATGTAGATTCATTTTTATAACCATTTGACGATTCACTTGTGCCTACCCTTATATGTGTGTTTAGGAGCTCTCCTTATTTGGAGAGAACAATTCTAGAACTTTCTGTCGAGCTTTCCTGACGATTTTGATCACTGCTTTTATTATGTTATTTCTTTGACACAATTAAATTTAATTTTTCAGTAGGGGTTGCTTAAAGTTGTAGTCTCCTAGATCTATTAATGGTGTGTGTTTATGTATATATATCTGCAGTGTGTCTTGATGGGACATTACCTGGTTATCACATTGATCTGGGCTACGGATCGGGATCGAACAGTTGGCTCATTCAAATGGAGGTTTGTCTGAAGCACTTTGAACATTACCAATAATAATATTAATCATTTTGTAATAAAATTGCTATTATGGTATAAAAATAAATCTGCATGAACTTTTGTACAAATGAGATTTGCTTACCAATTGACAAAAGAATTGTATTATTTCATCTTGGTTACAGACAAGCTATAAAGGTAAAATCATACACTTATGACAAGCTTGACGCCCTTCACATTCAGTGAGCACAGTTGTAGATCTTGAAATTTCAAACCTCTTCTAGACTCCTTAACACGCATTCTTGAGCAGCATATGCTTCTGTTTGAGTCATGTCATGATTCATGAAATTAAATTATACACCACATGCACACACATATATATATCTACTCATGTATACACCACACAATACATACATACATTAATACACATACACACATACTCCTATACACAAACATATATGCACATATATACATTTATATGTACATACACATATAAATATATACATATATTTATGTATATATATGTGGAGGAATGATCCTATCAGGCGCGCCTGACAGGATGTGCCGTGCGGACTTGCCCGTTTGAGGGCTTTCCCGGTGGAATGTTTCAAGAATTTATTTAAGTGTCTTCCCGATTGAATTTTGAGCTGAAATTTGGTATGCATAAACTAGACTTGATGAGGAATATGCTCAAAACATTTCATCAAAACATTTCATCCGGGAAGGCCCTCAAACGGGCAAGTCCGCACGGCTGCTCTAGTCAGGCGCGCCTGACCAGATCAGTTCTCTATATATATATGTATATAAACATATATGTACACACGTATACATATATGTACATATAGTGCAAAAAGTGTGTTTCTCGTGCAAAATGCAAACAATTGAGCACACTTGCACTTTTACGTGTTCTTAATGCACCTTAACATTAAAAAACAAAACACATTTTTCTGTGACAAAGATGCACGAGTGCACTTTACCCATCCATAATGCATTTTCATGCTCAAACCAATGCATATTATGTGGTGATGAAAACTTGGTTTATTTACCAAAATACCACACCATATTTTAGCCCTTAGGTCTTAAATCCGATGCTCCTTGTTCATTTTCATTTTGCACGGGAAGGTGACTTTTTATTTGATCCAAAATTTATAGATACACACATACATACATATGTGTGCACATATGGACATACCATGTATGATTGTATATACTTTTGTTTTTTTAATATATGAAACCTAATGTAAGCAAGATTACAATAGGGTGGTGGATGGTGTAACACCATTAGATCATGTGTTTACCGCAAGACAACACGGCGCGGGTCATCAAACTTTATGGAGAAAAATCTTCCATTTACGGGAATCTTGAGCAATAAGGCCGAGGAAAATCCAGGTTAATTGTTCAGTGTGTGTATATCTTAAATGGTCTATCGTAACATGTTCAAATATATCCACTTTAATCCATTTCTTTTCAAGCTTCTGTTATCTCAGTTTGAAGCAATTTTTTCCCCAGATTTTTACAACTGGAATAGAATTAAAGTCCGCTATTGTGATGGTGCATCATTCACTGGAGATAGTGAAAACCAGGTTTTTGTTTATTGTTGAAATCATTATTTTTCCGTTTTGGTCTGCTCATGCTGCTTTATTTCTGGGCTGGAAATGGCTAGTGGAACTATATATATCACTGTTTTTTCACTTTTTCATTACATAAGTGAGGTGCTTGTAAACATTTTGTCCTAACAAATAGATCTTAACATAAAATAACTTCAGTACAATTTTGTAACATTTATGATCCCCTTTCTTCAAAAGGGAAGCTTCAGAGTTGTTGAGCTTACAAGGGTTTCATTAAACTGAAAGTTTGTTATTTATTACTACATATTCACAAGAGATAATATATACCTGTACTTGATTTTCCAACAGGCTGCACAGCTACAGTTTAGAGGGCAGCGCATATATCAAGCAGCAATGGATGAGTTAATGTTGAAAGGAATGCGTCACGCTGAACAGGTAGTGTTTTCTAAGCTTTTCATTTATATATTCTTAAGATCACTTTTCCCCGTCTTGCAGTTATTGTTGTTATAATATGACTAAACTGAAAGTAATGGATAAAAGTATGGCATTTACAAGTTACAACTTAATGTTTATTGTGGTACTTTTGCTGCGACAATGGTGAGGTTATGTTTTACTGTGCAGTGACTGTTGTGGTATTTTTGCAGTGTCTATAATGACCATATACACATATTTTTCTCCACAAGTTTGTCTTAGCAATATTATAAGAAAACTTATGATACCATTATTATTGTTTTTGTTGTCGCTGGTACTATTTTTATTATGATTGTTATTATTATTATTATAATTATTACTATTATTATTTATATTTTGTTTTCTTGCTAATTTTGCTTTCAGTCTCTTCTTTCTGGATGCTCTGCTGGCGGTCTTGCTTCAATATTGCACTGTGATGAGTTCCGAAGTTTATTTCCAAGTAGTACTAGAGTGAAGTGCTTGAGTGATGCTGGACTGTTTATGGATGCGTAATTTCCAACCCATTTATGGTTCAGCAATTACCGAAAAATCATGTGTTTCAAATTAAGATCAAGGATGCATTCTTAGAATTAATAGCAATGATCGTCCTTTATGGATTTGCAGAACAGATGTATCAGGTGGTCGTAGCCTAAGGAATGTCTTTGCAGGGGTAGTAAGCGTACAGGTATTTCACTAGTAAAATTTAACGTGTAGCATTCTGTTTTTTGCTATGATTTTCTATATTGACTGATCATCTTTATGTGATGCTTATATGGTAATGTGACTATTTTTTTGGTGCTATATGACTATTGAGTTACACCTAGCTCACCTAAAAATGATCCTCAAGATGTGAGGTTTACATCTCACTGATAATACTAGACTAGACACATACTGTGTGAACTAATCATTTTTTTTTCATTTTCATTTACCCCAGTGCCGCAAAGGCTCCCACCTACGGTGGGGTAAGGGGGGGTCGGATGTACGCAGTCTTACCCCTGTACTAAAGCACAGAGAGACTGTTTCCGGATGACCCATAGTGAAAATCCCGTCCAAAATTGCATGGACTGACTGCTGCTTCATGACAAAGAAGCGCAAACAGTTTAGTAAGCCATTTTGCTTTATTCCATCATTAGCTCAAGCCAAAAAATAATGAATCTTTGGCTCCATTGCAAATGATGGAAATATACTGTGTGAACTAATATAAAGATAAAACTTACATATAAGACGTTGAACTTCTTTTATCTGGATGATCTTTTAGGCAGAATCCCAAATTTTAAGATGGTATCTGAGTCAATAAAAATGAGACAAGCCATAAATTTGACTAAGATTAAAGTGAGCACATAAATTTAAAAAATGTTTAGTTACAGTTTTCTTACGCCATTTTATTTAGGCATAAAAAAATTATTACCATTTCAAATAGAAGCTCTATAGCTCATCACTTACAGTTTTCTTACGCCATTTTATTTAGGATCTTGTGAAAACCCTGCCACAATCTTGTACATACCACTTTGATCCAACCTCAGTAAGTCTTTCCTCTTTCTTTTCTTCTCTCCACCAGCTCATATATGGTTTCCTGGTTTATATTTCATTGTTAATATGGTTTTGCCCCATCTATGTACTTCCAGTGCTTCTTTCCTCAGAATTTGATTGACAACATCAAGACTCCTCTCTTCATTCTCAATGCTGCCTATGATTCATGGCAGGTAACGTGGATTAACATTTGAAATATGAAATAAATTACTGTAAAAAGAAGTAAGATGTGGTAAGTTAAAAAAGCTATTGAATGAGCTGAACAAGCAGATACAAAAGGAAATTAAGTACACAGGGTGCCTTGACGGAAAAGAAATTGCACTGTGGATTTGTCAATAAGCGAAAAGTTATATGGATATCACTCTCATCTCAAACTGCCTGCAAATTTATTCAGTCTTGAGGATCTCACAGTCTCACCAAAGCACATTCTACTTCTAATAAGCCATGTACTGTATCAGAATCGTTCTCAATGAGCTCATAGGAATTGATCCCATTTTTTGTGCAAATAAGAATGTTAATAAATGTTTTGTGCTAGAAGTAGGATTCATTCACTTCTAAAAAAAGAATTAAAGTAGTTATAATTCTTCTTTTAAGAGTGATTGAGTCTTATTTTCAGGATAAAACAATGATGTTCCTATTTAAAGAAACGTGTTGTGTTTTCGTCCAATTTATGGTCCCCCAGAAAAGGGAAACAGATTTTGTTAAGGTTTTGCAGAAACCAGACTTAAACATTTTGGCCCAAAAATACCCAACTCCCAAGCAGAAACAGACATGGCCCACAACATAACTAAAACACCAGATTGAATACCAGTTCAAAGCATCAACACTAAAATTGGGATCTATTTTTTGTTTCCATTTGCCCCACTTCCCTTCAGCTCCAAGAAAGTTTGACTCCTCCTTCAGCTGACCCAAATGGCAGCTGGCACAGCTGCAGATTAGACAACCAGAAATGCTCTAAATCACAGATTGATTTTCTGCAAGGTAATCTAGTATTGGAATCTTTTTGTATTGGAATCTTTTTGTATACTTGATTACCTAGTAGTATTTTATTATGGTCTCACTTCAATTCACTTTTTTATCTATCAGAGTTCAGAAATAAGATGTTGAATACTCTAAAGGGTATTACAGCTTCTAAACAAACGGGATTATTTATAAATTCATGTTTCGCTCACTGCCAATCTGAGAGGCAGGATACATGGTTCGCTGATGACTCTCCTGTTATCCATAACAAGGTATGCAAGGGAATAATCACTCGTACATGTTTAGTTCTGTTGATGTAATTGTATCACATCAGTTAAATATAACTATTAAACTATTAACTCATGAAATCGGGTTACTCTCTCCTCCTATCAGATTTAGTGATAACACTCAAGTCTTAATATGATACTACAAGCCATTATAAATATTTTCACTTGCATTGATTTCATTTGAGCAGATCAAACTAAGATAAAAGTAAAGCACACTTAATACCGGGCCTTACTAAAGGACTAGACTAGAATTCAACAGAATAATTCAAACTGGACTAGACTTACACGGACTAGTTGAGAGTTGAGACCAGACCTGATCTAAAACTTTAAGTCATCCTGGAGACATCCTAAGCTGCAATGAGATCTCAAACTGCTTTTCAATTAATCTTCGATGATGGAATCTCAAGATTTAATATGGGTTCGGATCCTGACCACATTGTGTGTCGTTTGTTGGCTCCCATAGTTTGGGTAGCTCATTTCGGGTTGAGAGGAAAAGAATGAACCACCAATGTAAGATAGACCCCGAGTCTTGGATGTTCATACGATCATCATCATCATCATCATCATCATTACCCCAGTGCCGCAAAGGCTCCCACCTACGGTGGGGTAAGGGGATGTTCACACGATCATACGAATCATTTTTGCTTTACCGTTGGTACTTCAGCTAATTGCTTGATGTTTGTTACTTATACATAATGGTATAGCCTCATATAATATAGACTATAGAGAGAACGTAACACTCATAATGTTTGGAAACTGGATTTGCTGTAAAACAATGTAGGCAATTGCACTTGCAGTGGGAGATTGGTATTTTGATCGAGCAAGAGCAACATATATCGACTGTGCATACCCTTGTGATCGATCATGTCACAACTTGGTGTTCAGATGAGCACGCAATTTTGACTTTTTACATATTTTAATTTTAATCTTATACTCCAGCGGGAAATTTTCGCAATGTATAGGATCTTCAGAATCAACTGTTCCAATTCAATTTGTGTAGTTTGTGAATTGTTGAGGTTTTGTTTTTTTGTAATAAATTGTGTTTATTTGTCTTTTTATTTTTGGGCAATAATAAAAATATTGGTAATAACCTCATACAATATATTAGACTAGTAGTTTTTGGGCTATTTCTTTTTCTAAACAATGAGTGCAAAAAAATGTCTTACTCCCTCCGATTCCAAAACAAGTTCCACATTTGACTTCACACATATTAAGAAAATAAATTTGACTTTACTGTGGAGTGCACTGTTTGGCATTGTTTGAACATTGTTTGGCACTGTTTGACACTGTTTTGATGTAGATAATAAGAAAATGTTTGAAAGTGGAACTTAATTTTGAATCTGCCCGAAAAGGAAAGGTGGAACTTGTTTCAGAAACGGAGGGAGTATATTATATCGAAAATATCAGGATAAAGTTAAGACTACTTTAATTTGGAGGTTGCATGTTTTTAATTGGCTTAAAATTTGCTGGTTTAGTTTCTTGAAGTCTGATCTGGTATTTTATGACCATCAAAGTTTAAGTTTGGTTTGAGATTGTAACTTGATCAGAAACATCCTTAGAATTCATGAATTGTTGGACAAACTTTTTATTGACTTTATAAGTATGGGTTTCTTCGAAAGTATGAAAGTTCAACTCAGTAATTAATACTGTTTCCTTTTGTATTCTTTTGTTTGTTAAATTACTTTAGACTTTAGTAGGGAAAAAGTAGGATATGTGGTAGAAAAGTATGAAATAAAAAATGAAAAGGTACAAAAAGTAAGGGTAATTGAGTACTTTTAAAAGAGAGTTATCAAAAAAGGGATAATGTGACAAATAAAATATACTTCTCAAAAAGAAAAGTGTAGCAATAAAAAATACGGAAGGAATAATATATACTATGTAACTTTTTATAAGGGTAAAGAGTTTCTATTGTCTAAAAGAGATATGAGAATATACTTTTGGGACATCTCAAATAGAAAAGTGAAAATTTAATTAATAGTAAGTTGGATAGTGTTTGGAATCAAAGAAATGTACTGTAATATTTTTGAAGGCTAATACTTCTTCCCTAAAATAACTTCTTTTTCACTTGGTCAACTTAAATCACTCTTAATTGTTTAGTTTATATATCAAACTTTTATCAAATTGAATTATCTTTTTGCAACTTTGTAGAATTTTTAATGTAGTTATCGAATGTGTAAATTTATTTACTAAGAGTAATCTGAGCGTTGACATGGATCGATTAACTTTATCGTCAGACAAATGTTGTAAATTGCAACTGGAAGTTCTTTGAAGGACGGAGGAAGTGACATTAGCATGTAAGTTACACATGTTGAAGCAAACCTATTAATATTTTTTCTTGAAACATAGAACAAAATTTATGTTGTAATGCCTAAGATTATTCAAATTCTAATTTCATTCATTGTTGGTAGTTGGTGCAAATAGAAATGTTTTATAAGAGAAGCGACCAAAACCTTTGACCATTTGTATATTTAACAGTCAATTTTCACGTTTGTCACCACATAACTTTGATCATTAGTATATTAATTTTCTACTATTAAAATATTAAAAACTTCATATTTTGAAAATTTATGATGAGAAAAATTTAACAATATTTATATATAAATAAATTATTAATACATTAATAAATAAAACGTATCAAAGTAGAACATGTTAATAATGTACTCCCTCCGTCGAGTAATTAAGTTCTCACTTTCCTTTTTGGAATGGTCCATATTAAAGTTCTTGTTACTATTTTAGGAAAGTTTTTGTCTTGTGTTGCTAAATGCGTAAGGAAGTCCCTAATAATTGACTTAATAACCCTGGCCCCATAGACTCTTTTTTGAATGCCCAAAGCTAGGCCATCCAGTTAGAAAGTATTTACCTTGGCAGACGATTGTGAGTTCTCTGTTTGTTATCGGGGGAGTGCTAGTGGCATCTAATTCCTACCTGCCTTCAATTTTATCTACCCACTCAACTTATTACCCTACCCAGTTTAACCATTCGCCCCATACCTAGTTATTCCCCTACGCACACTGTCTCACTCCACTCCTTATCTTCTTCTCTCCTCTCAAACCATCTTCTCTGCTCGTTGTTGCCCCCTTCCTTCTCCTCACCGGCGTCCTCTCTGTTCATTGTTGCCTCCTCTTTATTCTCCTCACCGGTGTCCTCTCTGTTCATCGGTTTTTCCTATATCCTCTATTCGGTCCTAGTCTCTTCTAATGGACAATTTGGCCGATGGATCCAGTCAAACGCCATCATTAGATGGTGGATCTGAACCGCCAACTCCTCACCTGGTGGATCCACCGTCTACCACTATACATCCAAAACCATGCATTAAATCAGATCTAAAACCACCATTTAGACTGTTCGTCATTCTTTTTGGACCGGAGAGTTCCTCCGACACAGATCCAGAATGGCGCTTGCGTAAGAAATACGGTGACAATCTAGTTTCTGATACCTATGATGGGTTGGAGGGCTTGGATGAGGACTCCGGCAAAGAAGTGAGCTCGACACCGGTGGGCGAGGAAGAAGATGATGGGACTTGAAACGGTGCGGAAGGGACAAATGAAGGTTTCCGAAAGAGACGCGGGCTGATCTGAACATTTACGAAGAAGGGCATTAAGGACAGTAAACATCTGTTCTCTTTATCTCCTCATTTATGTGTTTGTTCTTATTTTGTGGGAATTGCCTTCCTGTGTGAAGTCTGTTGGCCAATGTTTGTAACTTGTGATGAATTTGGGCTTGTTTTGTGTAATGAATGATGTTCCTCTGTGATTTTTGTTAGCCAATGAACTGTGAATGCCAAAGCTCCAACCATTGCATTTATGCAACACACAATTCGAATGTGCAGAGGGTATTTCCGTAATGGTTCAAGTGTAGGGGCCATAATGTGTGCAAAAGGTGTGTGAAACTTGAGCTTTTGTGTGAAGTAGATTGCATTGTCAACTGTGCTAAATTAAAATTGTACACAACTAATTTGAGGGTACTTCAAAAAATAGTACTCCCATGGATGTAGAAGCACAAACAAAAAAGTACACCACCTAGTTAATCTACATCTTGTGTACTAACAAAAAATTGCCAACATTTAATTGGTTTATCTTAATTTGTTGTGATATGATTAGTTCAAAAGTGTAGACAGTTCAAACTTGAAGATCCTCTTGATCTTCATGTATGAACTGATTCCCTTGAGATGTGTTTGTTGACATTTGTCCTTCAAGCATTGCCTTAGCTGTCTGGTACAACTCTTGAATGATTTGGACATCTCTAGGCAACATACCTTGTCTGTCGAGTTTGTCATTCCCAACATGCTACAACTTGAAATTGTTGCCCCCACTGTGTTTCATGATTTCTTCCATCACATACTGATAACTGAAAAAACCTTGTTCAATGTTTGTGGTGTAAGCTCATCAAAAGATGCTTGTATTGCATGTATTAGGTCCATTATGTATTTTGGTGCCTTTTGATCCTTTATGCAATCAATTTCTCTGAAAAACCCCAAGTCCATTTAAATCTGGATTGTTGGGTGGTTGACATCTAAGTTGGATGTTCCAGCCATCTTCAGTTCCTGATTTCACAAATTTTGTGTCCTTAACATCAATATGAGGTCTAGCATTGTCTTGTTGTATGATATCTAACTTATCTGCTAACTGTGGCCACTTCTATTTGATTGCTGGCAATATGTTGTTCAACATCATTTCTTTAATGACTGGCCTAGTAATGCTTAAAGTGGGCTTAGTTTCTAAGGTTCTAGCATGCATATTCTTGCTTGATCTCTTTGTTGTATCTTCATATGTGAAAGGGAAAATGCCTATTTTCCTATCCCACAATACATCCCCATCACTTGCTATTCTTGGCCTTCCAACAACAGCAAGGAACATGATTTTAGGAATAAGCTTCTTTGACTGGGCAGTTCTATATGGATCAAGCTCTGTGAGAAGAGTATAAAAAGTACTGGTCTTTTTTGACAAGTACAACCACTTTTCATCTATGTGAATGTAGTCATAAAAATCATGAAATGATGGGAAAAGTGGACTATTCAGGCTTTACATGGTTTAAACAAAACTCTAACCTCCTCATTTTCACAGCTTTTGTTAACAATGGCTTGATTGCATTGGAGTAGCTTCTTATCTCCTTACTTTTAAACTATCTTTGCACTGTTGACTTTGAAACATTCATTGCAAATGTCTATGCTCTCATATTTTTTCTCTAAATATAAAGAATTTTTTGCAATTTGTTGCATATCAAAATAAACTTTTTTGGCCCTACATTTCCTTTCCACTTACTTTGCACATTGATGGTCTCTCCACTATGCATTTGCTCCTTTGTTTTTAGTCACAATTTTTGGACTGTCCGAGTAGATATGTTAAAATCATTGGCTAACTTAGTTATAATGCCCCTCTGAAGTTTTCCCTCACAAGCATGACCCAACAGATTTTCAATGATGCGACTTCTGTCTTGTGGTGACAACTTAGGACATTTTTTATTGAAGGGTTGACGACTCTGTCCTTCATTATCTGTGTGGATTGTGTGTGTGTGTGTGTGGTTGTGCAGGTCCAGAGGCTGTTAGGTCTGCAACGAATATGGTGTCTTGTTCTGGCAGGGGCATGGTGTCTTCATGTGGTAGGGGAGCCACATTGAGGTCCAAAATACCACACGACTGCTGAGAAAAGGCTGCCCCTTCACTGTCCATTTCTGGAAGAAGACTTTAAAGTAGAAGTAGAAGTCTTTTTTTTTTTTGTAAAAATAGAGGCAGTTGGGTGTATTGAATGTGGTGTTTTATACTGGTAGGAGTTTGTGAATGTAATGTGCCAAAAGGGAGGGGGGGGGGGGGGTCGAATATGGGGGGAAATCTGAAAAGTTTCATTTGTGCCTATAAATGAACTAAATGTACTTTGTGGTTGTGTGGCTTTGAATAAAACATCTACATACTTCCTCTCTCTCCTCATTGCATGCGACAGAGTTTTTACCATGGGCAGGGGTAAACAAGGTATGTTGAGGGGTATTTGTGGAAAGTCAAAAGCAAATAATTTTTCATCTTAAAACGTGTGAAGTCAAAGTAGGAACTTAAATAAGAACCGGAGGGAGTATAATTTAACATGTTGCATTTATTTAAGAATGAAGAAAATATGTTTTTTTTCATACTTTTTGCGTTTTGTGCAATCATTTTTGGTGAAAATTGTAGTGGGCAAGTTTTCCTTCTTCCCACAATGATGATATTTTTACTTAGACTACAATTTTATGGTTTGATCTGGTCTAGTCTGATTTGATCTGTTCTGGTCTGAACTGGTCTGATCTGATCTAATCTGGTTTGTTTTGATCTGAATTGGTCTGGTCTGGTCAGGTAAATGTTTGGTCTCTGTTTATTTTAAAACTGTCCAAGTCTGATCTGGTATGAGATTGAAAAATGTCCAAGTAAAAGCATCCCGACTCAACTCTTTTGCAATCGTGTTTCTTCATTACCACACATTTCCATCTGAGTTAGGTCGATTGAGGTTATTTCGATTTCGAATGAACACATATAGTTTTCATTTAAGAAGTAACCAAGTATCACTTTCCAAAGAATCAAGTATCGCTCTCAAGCATAAATAATCTAACATGAGCTTAAATTTCATGTTCATCGCTGACTTCCATCACTTTAGATGCTTTTACAAGTCTCCGTCTTGCTTGGGGTTTCGAATCATAAGAGTTTTGCACTTCATGGTGATTGAAGGAGATGGAAGAATGCTTGTGATCGAAGTCGAAATCGGAAGAATGCTCGTGCTCGAAAAAGAAACCTAGATCTGGAGCTCTGTGTTGCGAGTGGAATGTGAATGGAAGTGGATAATAAAGTGCGGGGAAGTTCGAGCAAGGCATAGAACCAAGAAGTCGTTTATTGAAATCCCAAAGACAATGGTTTTTCACTTCTAGGGTGTCTTGATCCTTATATAATTTCAACTTTTTCTAATAATGTAAAAGAAGGAAAATCAGATTCTGTTGAAATATAATTGAATTAGTCATCTTCCAACTATTCCTGATTAGGAATTATTATCACCATTGAATAAATAATTAGGAAATCATAATTACGATTCTAGATGATAATTGTGTGGTTCACAATTATCCTCTAATCCTAATAAGCTGAGCTTTTCCCATATAAATAGGAGACTTCTCCATTGTAATTAACACACCTTGATTACACCATTATCACACTCTCTAATACATCTCTATCACTAAGTGTTCATACTATATTTTCTCTCCCTGATCTTCTGCTTATTTCCTTCCATTTTATAACACGTTATCAGCACGAATTTGCTCCAAATCCCTGAAATCATCAACTTCCCAGCAGGTGTATTTTTCTATGAATTTATCAACTTATCTGAAAAAAAAATTAGAGGATGAGAAATATAAACATGTTTGCATATATATTCAAAACTATAAGAAGTATGCTCTATGGTTGCCCAACAATTGGGATCCTCCATATCAGAAAATTATAGCTATATTTTCTCTAAAAATTGAAGAAGATAGAAGAAAGATATACCTTTATATATAGAAACAGAATCTGTTCTTGAAAGTTGGGATGAGATGATTTACTCCATATTATAGATAATACTACGTGTATCTTACTTGCATATTCTTGTTTTTCTTCCAAATAAAGTGAACTTGAAATTGAACATAGTTATCCTTATACGTATATTATAATATCTGATGGAGTTATGGGACTAGGCCCAGAGCCTAATCGGCCCAAGCCCCGAACTTGGACCCGTGGATCCAGGTCCACAACCTGGAGCCTGCCAACCATCTCAACGGGGAACCTGCCAGTTCAGCCGACCTGCCAACCAAGAAAAGTAATAGTCAAGCAATTAATGCACGTTTAATTATGTATTTAATTATGTATTAATGTTGTAATTAATTAGTCATTATTATCGGTAGCGGTTACAAATTGTATACGCCTATAAAAGGCACTTTGTAATTCAAACTAAGGAACGAATTCTATATGCTATTTCTGGCAACTAAATCCCTTTGCAACTTTCCATATTCGTACTTTTCTAATTCCTGCTTGAGTGTTCTTACGTAGCTTTCCTAAAAGTCTACGAGCGTCCTATTTTGGACCAACAATATCAATAGAATAAAAAAAACTAAAATGAAGATTATTACTTACGGAATACGGATATGTGAAGCTAAAAGATATAAGCTTGAAATTTTTATGCTACTCTAACCTCTACATGTGAAGAAATAGTTCCGGTGAAGTTGTGAAGATAAATAAACTTAGATATTTTTAAGACAATGCATTAAGGGACCGGTTGTACATGTCAGGACTCACAAACATTGCATGTGACTCTATTTTAATACTATCCTAATAATAAAATAAAAAATACTATCCTAATGCATTAAGGGGTCGGTAGTACTACGTATTTGAAAAGAAAGTGATGGGAGCTGCATGTTTTGGCAGAACTCACGGTTCTATAAAATACAAATAGATAAAAGCATTTTTTTGCATGTCTCCTTCTGACCATTGTGAAAACACAATTTTCCACTATTTCAGTACTAATATACATACATACCTATATTAGTAGTTATTAATGAAATAGATTTAATAGTGAGGATATACTCACACAAACTACGTAATAAAAGTGATACATATAATTATTGTTATTGTACATAGTCGTTATTAATATAGTGTTTATAAAATAAACATATTATGTATATCTAATCATATTATCTATACAAACCATTAACTAATTAATTTTGATTTAATTATGATGTAGTTCATCCATGGCTAATATTAGCAAAAGAGAGTTCGACGTCCTTGATTTATCTGGTCAAAAGTACTTGGAATCAGAAAGTTGACGCTTTGGCACATTTAAAAGCAAATGCCCTTGAAAACACAATTGCTGAAAATAATTCAGCTACTCCCCAAAATAAGGCAAAAGTCATTATCTTTCTTCGTCACCATCTTCACGAAAGTTTGAAGTCTGAGTATTTATTGGTAGATGACCCTAAAGAATTATGGGATAATCTCCAAGAAAGGTATGACCATCAACAAAAGGTCCTTTTACCAAAAGCTCAATATGACTGGATCAATTTACGATTCCAGAATTACAAATCTATAAGTGACTACAATTCTGCCTTGTTCCAAATAACATCAAAACTGAAGTTATGTGGACAAAAAGTCACTGATGCTGAAATGTTGGAAAAAACTCTGTCCACTATGCATCTTTCAAATATGCTTTTACAAGAGCAATATAGACAAAAGCACTTTCAAAAGTATTCTGATTTAATATCAGTATTATTACTTGCTGAGACGAATAATGACATTTTGATGGGAAACCACAATATGAGACCCACGGGTTGTAGCCCTTTTAGTTTTCGTCCACAAAATCATGATTCGAAACATGAATCAAATGCAACTCATAGTGGTGCTCGTGGACATTTCAAACGTGGTCGTGGTATTGGTCGTTTTAATGGACCTAGACGGGGAAACAAATAGAGTAGTAGCTCATTTTACAAAGGCAAGGGAAAACAAAACCCCCATCAAACAAAAGGCCCTACGAAATCTCCAGAAAAGGCCAAAGTCACTTGTTTTAAATGTGGCACATCGGGACATTGGGCAAATAAGTGTCGTACACCTAGACATTTGGTTGACTTATATAAATCATCTCTAAAAGGAAAGAATGTGAAAACTAATTACGTCAACGAAAACATTCCACTAATACCCACATTTAATATGTCTGATTTCTATATGGATAATAATGAGATGAACACTTACATCGTCATGGGTGAAAAATAATAATAAAAAATGAAATTATCCTGTTATGTAATATATTCTACAATAAAAGTTTGTTGCATTGTAATTTTTTATTTGGTGTGCTTATTTCGATTGTAAAAGTTATGTACATTTTAATGAATAAAGTCTTGTTTATATTACAGTATTGAACTAATATTTGTTCATTTTTATATTTTTAAAGATATGGAGTTAACTAAAATTTCTCCAAGTGGCTTTGAACAATGTTTGATAGACAGTGCCACAACGCACACCATTTTGAGACAGAGATTATTTTTCTCATATGACATTAGTTGATGCTAATGTTAATACAATCTCAGGTGTTGCTAAACTCATTGAAGATTCTGGAATAGCCTGTGTGATTCTCCCAAAATGGACAAAAATAATAATTAAAGACGCTTTATACTCCAGTAAATCACGGAGAAATCTTTTGAGTTTCAAAGATATGCGTCTAAATGGTTTTCACATTGAAACCATGTCTGAAAATCAAAAGGAATATTTATGTCTAACGACAAATAGATCTGGCAATAAATACATTTCTGAAAAAATGCCAGCACATTCCTCCGGACTATATTATACATAAATCAGTCCAATTGAGATAAATGTGGTATCTAAAACTAATGACCACAATTCCTTTATCTTGTGGCATGACCGTTTAGGTCATCCAGGCAGCACTATGATGCACAAAATTATTCAAAATTCACTTGGACACTCATTAAATAATGTCAAAATTCCAAAATCAAGTGATTTCTCATGCACTCCCTGTTCTCTTGGCAAATTAATTATCAGGCCATATTTATACAAAATTGGAGTTGAATCTCCTGCATTTTTAGAAAGAATTCAAGGAGATATTTGTGGGCCAATTGCCCCTCCGTGTGGACCGTTTCGATACTTTATGGTGCTCATTGATGCATCAACACGTTGGTCACACGTCAGTTTTTTATCGACTAGAAATTTTGCATTTGCAAATCTTGTTGCTCAAATTATTCGTTTGAGATCACAATTTCTGGATTATTCAATAAAGAAAATCCGACTTGATAATGCAGGAGAGTTTACATCCAATCTTTTAATGACTATTGCATGCCAATTGGGATTGATGTGGAACATCCATATCATAAATTTTTCCCATTGCAATTAATATCTGGTAAAGAACCAAATATATCACACATAAAAATATTTGGTTGTTCTGTGTATGTACCAATTGCTCCATCTTATCGTACTAAAATGGATCCTCAAAGAAGGCTGGGAATTTATGTTGGTTTTAAATCTCCCTCAATTATTAATTATCTAGAACCTATGACTGGTGACTTATTCACCGCACGGTTCGATGACTGTCATTTTGATGAGACAGTATTCCCAGCCTTAGGGGGAGATAATAAAGAAATGGACCCACGTACGAAAGATATTACTTGGAATGCAACAAATTTATCTTTTCTTGATTCTCGCACAAATGCTTGTGAACAAGAAATTCAAAAGATCATTCATTTACAAAATGTTGCAAACCAATTGCGTGATGCTTTCATAGACTCAAAGAAAGTGACAAAGTCACATATTCCAGCTATGAATGCTCCTTCTCGAATAGAAATTCCTGCAGAGATTAGCGAAAGAACTCTTGCTAATGAATCTATGATACGTAAAAAACGTGGTAGACCACTTGGTTCAAGAGATTTGAAACCAAGAAAATTTAAAAAGCAAGATGTAGTTTGTGATGCCAAAGAAGTTCAACCTTCTCAAGAAGAAAATGAACATTTTGATAATATCGGCATTGAAGATAACATCAATAATAAAGATACCTCAAAAGAGGATCCAATCACCTTTGAAGAGGTAATATTCCAGATAAAGATAGAAACGTTGATAATTTTGAAATTTCAATCAATTACGTTTCTAATGGAATGCAATGGAATAGAAAAGATATTGATGTTAACGATATATTTTCATATGCCATCGCCACAGATATAATGAATGAACACGATGACAATGAGCCTAAATCTATTGACGAATGTCGTCGTAGAAACGATTGGCCAAAATGGAATGAAACGATTCATGTAGAACTAAAATCGCTAGAAAAGCATAATGTTTTTGGACCAATTGTCCACACGCCAAAAGGCGTAAAATCTGTAGGTTTTAAATGGGTGTTTGTGCGTAAACGCGACGAGAAAAATGAAATCGTTAGATATAAAGCTCGATTTGTTGCCCAAGGTTTTTCTCAAATGCCAGGAATCGATTATAATGATACGTATTCTCCAGTAGTTGATGCTACTACTTATGAATGTAGTGACCGCATATTTATACGGTTCACTGATACAGACATATATATGAGAATTCTTGGAGAATTTAAAATACCTGATGCTTATCGCTCTAAATCTCGAGATTTATTTTCCATAAAATTGCAAAAGTCATTATATGGATTAAAACAATCTGGACGCATGTGGTATAACCGTCTTAGTGAATATTTGATCAAAGAAGGATACAAAAATGATCATATTAGTCCATGTGTTTTCATTCAGCGATCTGAATCAGGATTCGCCATAATTGCAGTATATGTTGATGATTTGAATATAATCGGAACTCCCAATGAAATTGAAAATACTGCTAAATATCTCATGAAAGAATTTGAAATGAAAGATCTTGGGAGAACAAAATTTTGTCTCGACATTCAAATTGAACATTTGAGAAATGGTTTTTTTATCCACCAATCAAATTATACCGAGAAACTTTTGAAGCGGTTTTACATGGAAAAAGCTCACCCACTCAATTCTCCAATGGTGGTTCGATCTCTCAACGTGCATGATGATCCTTTTCGACCTTGTGAAGATGATGAAGAAATCCTTGGTCCCGAAATACCATATTTGAGTGCTATTGGAGCGTTAATGTATTTGGCTAATAATACCCGACCAGATATTGCTTTTTCTGTAAATTTATTAGCCAGGTACAGTTCTTCCCCAACAAGAAGACATTGGAATGTCGTCAAACATATTCCGCTATCTCAATGGTACAATCGATCTTGGATTGTATTTCAAGAATGGTGCAAATGCCACTTTAATTGGCTATGTCAATGCAGGGTACTTGTCTGATCCACAAAAGGCAAAATCACAAACAGGATATGTATTCACCTATGATGATACCGCTATCTCATGGAGATCAATGAAGCAAACATTAACTGCCACATCCTCAAATCATGCAGAATTAATTGTTCTCTATGAAGCAGGTCGAGAATGTGTCTGGTTGAGATCAATGATCCAGCACATACAAAATGAATGCGGTATAAAATCTTTTACTTGTAATCCTACTGTGATTTATGAAGATAACACAACATGTATAGCTCAGATCAAAGGAGGTTACATCAAAGGGGATAGAACAAAGCATATAGCACCAAAACTTTTCTCCACACATGATTTTGAGAAAGAAGAAACAGTTGGTGTCAAACAAATAAAGTCCCGCGACAACCCTGCTGATTTATTCACAGTCATTGGCACCGAAGAAATTTGAAGAAGCGATCCACAAAATTGGAATGTGTCATCTTCGTGATATATGTTAAATTGAGGAGGAGTAATATAATGCACTACACTCTTTTTCCCTTCGTCGGGTTTTTATCCCACTGGGTTTTTCCTGACAAAGGTTTTTAACGAGACAGTACATTATAATACTATGATACTAATACCCCAAAATAATTAGAAGATGACCATTCAAGGGGGAGTGTTGAAATATAATTGAATTAGTCATCTTCCAACTATTCCTGATTAGGAATTATTATCACCATTGTATAAATAATTAGGAAATCATAATTATGATTCTAGATGATAATTGTGTGGTTCACAATTATCCTCTAATCCTAATAAGCTTAGCTTTTCCCCTATAAATAGAAGACTTCTCTATTGTAATTAACACACCTTGGTTACACTATTATCACAGTCTCTAATATATCTCTATCACTAAGTGTTCATACTACTCCATCCGTCCCTTAAAACTTTGTCATCTTTCCTTTTTGGGACGTCCCAAAAAACTTTGCCACTTTCCCTTTTAATCAATTATTTTGTGATTTCTGTTATTTCTCTCTCCTCTGCACAAATCTCAACCACACAGTTTTTACTTTATTATTCTCCGTGCCGGTCAACTTTGGCAAAATTTTAAGGAACGAAGGTAGTATATTTTATCTCCCTGATCTTCTGCTTATTTCCTTCCATTTTATAGCAGATTCAAAATAGTCGACCTTTTTGACCCTTTTCCGTAAAAAATCATTTTCGAACTTCGGTTCTTCCCGAACTGAACAAGCCAGCGTAATCGTGTTTCTTCATTACCACACATTTCCATCTGATGAATACAATGTAACCATCGTCTCCATGCCACATCCTATCCATCTCTCTTCCACCGCAGCTCCGGTCAGTCCTCAACTCCCCGCCCCACCATCCAAACTCCACCACCTCCCTCCTCCGCCTCCTCTCCCGGCTTCCTCCGAACCCACTCGCCGTGTAATTTCCTTCGTTCCGAATCCCAAACCATCTAAAGCCACCGCACCAGTCAATACTCAACTTCAAGAAAATCTCCTCTACTTGGATTCCCTTGGGATAGACTCCTTCCGTTGTCTCGCCTCTCATCCCCTGCTTCTCTCTGCCTCACTTCTCCAATTCAAATCCGTCGTCGATTTCTTGTACACCCTCGACATCAGTATACGCGAAATCCGCCGTGCGGTACACATGTGCCCGGAAATCCTAACTGCCTCCGTCCCGCGTACTTTACGCCCCGCGGTTATTTTCCTGCTCCACGAGGCTGGAGTGGAAGGACGGAACCTTCCCGGCGTCATACACGGCCGGCCGCGGCTTCTTACCTGCAGCGTGGAGGAGCAACTCCGTCCGGCTCTCTTTTTCCTGCAAAGTGATGTTGGAATCAAGGATGTTAGCAGATGGACGGCCTTGCTTTCGTGTTCTGTGGAGTCCAAATTCATGCCCAGGCTCGACTACTTTCAGAAGCTAGGGTTTTCGAAAGGAGAGGCCATATTAATGTTCAGGAGGTTCCCTTCCTTGTTCTGCTACAGTATTGAAGAGAATATGGAACCGAAATTCAATTACTTTATGGTGGAAACGGGGAGGGAGTTGAAGGAACTGATTGATTTCCCTCAATACTTCTCCTATAGCTTAGAAAAGAGGATAAAACCTAGGCATCAAACATGCAAGGAGAAAGGGCTGTGTTGGTCCTTGCCTTTCATGCTGAAATCGTCAGAGGTGCTATTTCAGGAGAGATTGCAGGTGTGCTGTAATTCATCTATGCCGGTGAGATCTTCACCTTTGTGGTGTGCCGGAATCTGATCATAGGTAAAGATATATAATTTCCTATCCAATTGTTCATTTCCATGTATATGTTATTGCGGCAGAATCACATTTTGTCACTCTAAGAGCCCTTCCTGTCTTCCTATGTATTGTTGATGTATGTTGGAATGCTCTGGTTTAAAATTAGTTTCACTGCTTCATTTAACTTCTCATGTATATTGATCAATGAATGTTGAATAATATTGGTGGAATGCATGAATCTTTCTTTCTTATTTCAATAATCAATTGAATTGCATTGTTAGAATCATGCAATATACTTACAATTTTTAGGATGATTGGTATAAAAAACTTTGTTGCATGCAAGATGCATAGGTACTAGGGGTGAACCGAAAAACCGAAACCGACCGACAAACCGACCGAAACCGAACCGACCAAAACCGAAATCGACTAATCATTGACGGTTCCATTTACGGTTTCACCTTTTGGGTTAAAACCGATCGAACCGAAACCGACCGATAAAAACAGACAAAAAACATGCTAAAACCGAACGAAACCGCCCAAACCGACCGAAAATAACCGAACCGAAACCGAACCGAAACCGACTCAAGTACTGCGGTTCGGTTCACGGTTTCACCTTTTCTAAAACTGAAACCGACCAAACCGAAAACCGACCAAACCGAATCTTAGTTTGTCACGTTTAAGAATAAACAATTGCATTTAACTTGCTGCCTGAAATACTGTGACGGCGCCATTTCACCAGAGCTTGATGGGATACAGCCTACATCTTTGACCAAATGTGGTTTAATTTGTTCACTCTTAGGCTCTTAGTACTGACAGTAAGTAATACAAGTCATTCCCAGTGATCAGGGATTTGATTCACCCGCTCCTGTTTTTTTTGTCATGGCTCATTTACTGGTATTTATCTCTCTTCTTAGTAGAGTGAGGAGAATTGGGTCACCTTTTAGAGTGGGGACTGTGACACCTGGATTGGCCACCTCCTTCCAAGGCCATCCCAAACTTTAGGGGGCTTGTGCTAATTACAATAACTATGCCTTATGTAATAGAGGTAGTGCACAATTTTGCTTCAGAATTATGGAGTATGTTTTAGTTACTTTTGAACATTAGTTTTAATTTTCTTTTTTAAACAACAACAACATCCAAGCCTTAGTCCCAAAAGATATTGGGGTCGGCTAACATGAATCGATACATGATATCACAACCAAAAGGAAAAGAAGGAATAAAGATAAAAAGATAAGCTATTATAAAAAGATAATATAAAAAAGATGAATATATATAAAAATGATAAAATAAAAAGGTTGCAAATAATGCATATATATAAGGATAAAAAAAACTAGGAAAAAAAGATGAGGGAAAAAGATTATCAAGATCACTCCTTCACGTGAATACCCGTCATTCCGCATGGCACGATCGATCTGGAAACCGGTACTTGGTTATCAAAACCTGGGTATTAACATGGAACCCCTAAAAACTGGAAATGTCATGCTGGCCCATAGGAACCCGATTTGGAATGAATCTTTGTTATTATATAAGCCTCTTTTTATCTAATAAATGAATAGTAGATTAAACATGAAAGAAAAATATGTTTATATGCACGTGCCACGCACTAGGGGTGGAATCGGGTCGGGCCAGGCTTGGTCCCGGTCGGTCTCGGTTCTAAATAATTGAAGCCCGGTACCGACCCAGTTTAGTCCAGGTCCAAACAATACCGGTCATGGGTCGGGCTCGAGCCGATGTCAGCCCAATACAACAACAACATCCAATCCTTAGTTCCAAAAGATTTTGGGGTCGGCTAACATGAATCGATCCATGATATCGATGCCAAGAAGAAAAGATATACAAGAAGAAAAAAAAGGTAAGATAAAACGAATAAAATAAAGATAAATACTCCGTAAATATTAGATAACAATAACATAAGAATATAAGAAAGATAAAAGATAGAAAGATAAAAGAGCATAAAAAACTAGAAGATAAAAATAACATAAGAACATAGAAAGATAAATGAAAAAAGAAAAAGTGAAAGGAAAGATAGAAAAGAGATCAATCGTCTACATGAATGTGCGTCTTCCATCACTCTACGCCATACATCAATGGAGGCTAATTGTTGTTTAATAAATCTTACTACCTCCGTCCCGTTATGATTGTCCCATTTTAGCTTATCGGTCCGTCCCACTAAGATTGTCTCATACCAAATTTGGTAAAGTTTGTGTGGTTCTAAATCATTCTCACTTTATTCTCACTTTATCAATTCAATATCAATCACATAAATCACTTTTTATTAATTTGCGTGACACTCCCTCTTGTCCCATTGTTAGCGGGACGGAGGGAGTACCTTTTAGTCTAGGCGGCATACCTCGATCGCATATAAATCATGATACACTTTTCTATTCCATCCACTCAGCTTCAATTCTATGGATACATTTCCATCAAATTCACCATCTTTCTGAATTATGAAACCCAAGTAGCGAAACATATCACACATCTGTATCTCCTTACCATCAAGAGTAATTCAATTGTTGCTACTACTTCTACCTCCACCAAACTTGCACTCTAGCCGGTGCCCGCCCAATAATTAAAAAAATAATTATAAAAAAATCTAGCCGTTTGAATCGGCCTGGCTGGCCCCCAAAATTCAAGGCCAAAGCCCACCCTATTCAACCACGGTCCGGGCACTGGGCCGGTACCCGTACCGAAAAACCAGGCCCGGGCCAATACCAAACAGTAGCGGTCCCGGGTCGGGCTGCCTTGACTAAGTCCACCCCTATCACGCACTCTATAAAGTTAATCATATAAAATTCTCTCAAAGATGTATAAACTAAATAACAGAAAAATGTTGTGCGACACATAAGGAAGATAATATGTTTTCAAATATCACGTGTTTATGAGCTTTTTCAAGTATCATCGTTATGGGATTATTACGAAGAATGTTACTCCGGGACATATGCAACCTGCTAACTGGTTGATTACAATGCTTATTTGAACACTTGAAAAGTTAGGCTGCTTAATCAACTCTGTGAATATAGTACATAGGCTTATCTTATAGTTTTCACTATATCATTATACTCCGTATAACATAGTATGAATATAAAATGAAAAATACATGTGGCCTCATTTGAAGATTAATAGAAAATGCTGAATAACTTACAATTTATCTCTCATTTTGTATGATACAATTTTCTTTCTATATTGTCTCAAAAGCATGAACGCTTACGTAAACTCATCTCAATAACTTCTTTTTCTTACTCATTGAAGGTTGCAATTATAAAGTGTGTGCTAGACCCAATTGTATCCTATAATTTGCAACTAAGCCTGGACACACATGATGATACACAAACTAAGTTTAGACCATGGAATGAGATCTCAAATACATTTAGGTCTGGTCCCAGGTTTGAATAATGGGGATTGGACAGCCGGTCGCCAACCGCTAGTTAACTCCCCCCTTACTGGCTTTCCTCCGTCCGAGAGGCATTGCATGCTCCTCCGACGGCTCTTAGGATCGTTGGAGGAGGATGGCGGTAAAGAAAAATCTACAAATACCTCTTATTTTCTCCATTTTCATACATCAACTCTTCAATTCTCTCATCTTTATCATCTATACTCTCTATAGTAACTCATATTTAACTTACTTAGCTTTATTTATTTTCTCTGTTCTTCACTAACATGGAATCCCCTGATATCTCATTTCTAATGTTAACCCATTGCGCTATCAATAAGAGTCCCAAAATTACTTGTTTTACACAACAATATCTTCATTGCTAGGAGATTTTGTGGTACGCTACACAGAATTTTTCTCATGAAAAACTCAACACTTATTGATACCTTGTACGAATTCTTACGTTTTGCATTTGAAATTCAGATAACACAGCCATTGTAGACTTATGGAGTTATGGTGATACATGGAACATTTGTTATTTAAGTTCAATCTATCTAAGTATAATAAATGACTCTTTCCTAAATAATGTGCTCCCTTGGTCCCATTTTGCAAGCAATATTTTCTTTCTTGAGTTATTTTACAAATATGATCACTTTTCTAAATTGGACTCCATTATTTTTATTTTATATTCCCTCTTTAACCCTCTATGCATCATTTCATTCTTTACTTTTTGTGGATCAATCTTACTCTTTCTTACTTTTTAGAAGTTACAATTGTAAAACAACTATTCTAAACTCGAATGCATTTGAAACAACTATTTTTCTATCATTCTTACATTAAAAAAGCGATCAGAACTAGATCGGGGACCAACGCAAAACTGGCCCGAAACCGTGACTCCCAGTCCCCCAGGGGCGGAGCCAGGAGGTGAGGGTGGGTGGGGGGCAAAATGCTATTACATAATATACTCCTCTTAAAGTTTATTAAATTAGTATACCAATTTTTTTTACCAATTTTTTCTTATAATTCTTTTATGTTAGATACTTTAAGACGGATATCTCCAACACTACTCCATAATATATTATTAATAATATATTTTTACATACGGAGTACTGAGTATTATTTATGGGGTAATAATCACTTCTTCAAAATATAGTGTTTTTATAGATTAATATTTTCCAAAATGACTACTTCGAGAATATATAATGTTTTTATACATATGATATTTTAATGAAGTATTGAAAAATTATAAATGTAGTAAAGAGTATAACTATAAACATATTTCGAACTACTATACTACTACAGGAAATACAAATTGGGGGGGGGGGGGCAAAAAAATAAATTACAAGCCAATAATAATAAAAATAAAAATGTTGGGAGGGGCAATGCCCCCCCTAGACATATACATAGTTCCGCCCCTGAGTCCCCCCATCCAAGACCAGTCAGTCCGATCCAGGATCATAACCAGCCCAAGACCGGACCAGATCCATGTTTTTTCTAATAGAATTTCAACTCATCTGATATGTGTATATTATTATTATTATTATTATTATTATTATTATTTTAAACATATTGTGATTTGGGATGTATTTCAATATGTTGTGGTATGCTATGCTATGTCTATATTGCCTATATATTATCTAACTGAACTTGGTTGAAGTATACAGTTCCTCAATTCATTTAATAATTTATTTTGATTTTAACTAAATGGAGAACATCCTCAGAGACAACCCCACCGAAGACATAACAAAACCGTAGTTCAACTTTTAATGAAAAAATAGATGACTAGTGCCAGATCTATTTGATCAGATCATGACAGGGATGGACCTGGACTGTGTTTTGGGAGGAAGGCCCGGTACCGACCCGGGTTGGAACCAGGACGTCCAGGCCCGGGTCGGGGTATATTTTTTAGAAAAATTGTTTAAAACGGATTTTTTTTAAAAAAAAGGCCCTGACCAATTCACCAATTCACTATCCCGTAGCCCACCCCCTACCCCCGGTTCGGGCCTCATGGACTGATGGACCGGTACCGGTACCGGCCGGCGGTCCGGTTCGGTACTAAACTGTACCGGGCTGGGCCGGTCCACGGGCCAGTTGAACCGGGCCAGGTCCATCCCTAGGTCATGAAGGAACAATTTTTAATAATAAAAAAAAAGTTTTAACAATATGATTTTAGAAAATGTCAGCATCTTTGATGGGCAAACTTTCGTATACGAATTTTGACTGCCAAGAATATAGAGCCTGATTGGAATAACTTACTGTTTAAGAGCTTTCATGAGAAGATTGGAATTTTGGAATAACTTACTATTTAAGAGCTTTCATGAGAAGATTGGAATTTTGGAATAACTTACCGTACAAGTTTACTTGGAATAACTTATGTTTTCTCATTTGTATGCTTAAAGCCTTAAATAAAAAAAGGATGACACCCCATCCCTGAGGGACCCCAACCCCGACTGGACAGTACGTTGAGAGGATGTAAATTGAACTTGACAGATAGAAAGTAGGACTATGTCGCCGATACTTGCAGAGACCCTATACTTTTTGCATTTAGTATAGTCTGATAGTCACCTCTCATTACGGTTGAGTGGTTGACGGGATTCGAACCTCACACCTAATCCTTGTGACACTCCCTCACTACCAGTTGAGTTACGCCCACCGGTTGCTTGATGCCTTAAATGCATTTCCGAAAGAACACCAATCAGGTGCTTTCTTAAATTATCTCAATTTGTTTTAATTTAGAAGCATTTTTTCCTCTATTTTCCTGCAAGCTTTTCATATTTAAATAAATGAATGTACTAATTGAGAGGCAATCTTACACCACATCTGCTTTTGATCCATGAATAATCAATCACAGAACAACATTTCTCCCTTTAGTTTTCCACTTTTCCAAAGAAAGTAATACTTCATACATAGGGCATTTTACCTTTAACTTAGCCCTTGCTCCCACAGGATGCAAAAAAAAATTGACATTTACTAGAGAGAACTAGATCGGATTGGGTATCGTCCATGAAGGGAAAATGTTAAATCACTTCCAGAATGCAAATATAGGCCTTTCAAATCCAGATTTCCGACCAGCTGCACAAGAAGTAATATCTTCTACGAACCGAAATCCAATCTGCCATTAAATTGCACATTCATCAAATCAAATTATTGTGGGGAAATTCCTAAAATAGAAGCCCATGACCCAATTTTTTAGCTTATGAAGCTTATCAATCAACTTTTTCACCGCACACGTAACTTTTGATTTTGCACGCGGATTTGTGTAATAATAAGAATCATTTTATTGGCTAAAGTTACTTTTTTTTAATGATTGGCTGTTACAATAGAAAATCATTTTAGCTATTTTTCATATAATTCTTTCTTTATTTTATTAAAAAAAAATTAAATATAATTTTTTCATAAATGAGCAGAATAAGCCAATCCAACCACTTCAGCCAGAACTTAATAAACTTCAGCACAATTAGCCAATTTCAATGTTACCAAACAAGCTCTAGGAGTAAAAACAAATGTAAACTTCAAAACAAAAGTAGCATGTTTGTTACTCTTAACAAGAGTAACTAATTGTCATCTTGAAGTATTGGTGTCATCTTGACAGTACTTTCTAAGCATTTCTAAGCATGCCAGACTAACTGTAAGTCTGTAATTACTCCTAATTAGAGAATGAAAATACAATGCCACTATTTTGGAATTCCAAAACATTTTCACTCCTACTTAGGACAATTTCTTATATATCTTTATTCAAACACCAAATAGAAGTAAACTGGTACTACTGGGAAAAGGAAAAATGTACCTTATCCAAAAGTATGTCCTGAAAATCCTCAGGACGGATTTTAATATTATGATAGTTAGCTCTAGATGCCTGCAAAATAAGGGAAATTTCTCAACCAAATCAAATCCAACAGAACATTCTGTAGTTGACTAGTTATTTACTTTTTGTTTTTCCAGAGGCCAAATGGAAAAATACAGAAAAATAACAAAAATTACCTCTGAAACATGGCGATTATTATAATAAGAACTCCAGGGCTGTGGTTCCAGTATAAACAAACCTCCCTGGAAGGGGTGAGGAGCAAAGTTATGTCCACTTTCCATGACACCATACTTAAAATGCAATTCAACACATTATTAACTACTACTATTATAGTAGTACCGGTTTGAGAATCTTCCAGGCTTTCACAAATAAAGAGATTAGTCCCTCATCACCCCAATTTAACTGCACCCACTTTGACACGCTTAAACTGCCAAAATATGAGACCACATTATAGAAATAAATAATGTAATTTAGAATGTAATTGAATTAATGAAGAAAAAAATAAACAAAAATAATCAGTTGCAACCGCTAGCTAATGCGGAGTATTGTATAGCATAGTGTATGTACCATATAATTGTATCATAAGACATCCGTTCTGGTGGATACCAACTTCCAACAAAATTTGCCTTCTTAAAAGATACTACTTCAAATAAATTACTTCCTCCTGATGCCTGAGACTCTTCAGAACTATCCCTTACTCTATCGTCATTAGACGACTCTACCAGATTACCCACCGATACATTTAACTTGTTTGAATCTTCATATTTAGATGTTTCCTGTGACCATTTCTGTGTAGTGGCCCTTGCTGTTTTCCTTAGGTGCCAATATGCATCGTCAACTCGAGCTGTTAAAGAATGGACAACCAAGTCATTCCCCCTACACAACTCGATTGAAATTCTGAAATGGTATAACTATGAAAATTACTTATTAGTTATTACCCACGCTCACTACATTATGAAGCATACAATTTAAACCTCCTGAATATTAATAATATGCATGATAAGACAGTTCAATCACCAAGCAAACATCTTCTTCCTACTGTTCTTGTCTCTGCTTCATGTGTCTTTAAGCTTTGCTTTTTAGTCAGTCCCAAAAGAAACTTTAGATTTCTTTTTAGTCAGGAAAGAATCCTCAATTGTGCGGTCATTATTTCACTAATTCAACCCAAACCTCAAATACACATTTTTGTTTGCAACCACACTTCTTAATAAGTGTGTGAGGTCAAAACCAGGGGATAATTACAAGAAGGGAGGGTCTTTGATAGGAATATACAAAAACAGATGTTGGCTGTGTACTGACAATGTAGAAATCATCTGCACCATGCAGCTAACTGAACGGAAAAGGCAAAAAGGTTCGGTCTGAGAACTTACCAATATCGATGTCAATTCCAAGAATGCTTTGACAACAAAACTTCTGTGCTGTAAACAGAGAGTGTTTACTAGTCATGATCAATATACATTTATATTTTACCTTCCTATAGTCAACCTAAAGAATGCAAGATTGAGATGCACATATAAAATGTAAGTAGAAAATGAAGTTATAAAAATTTATACTCCCTCCGTCCCATAAAATTCCTCCAACTTTCCTTTTTGGGCCGTCCCAAAAAACTCTTCCAACTTACCATTTTTGGACAATGTGTGTGGTTCACATTCATTTCACCTTTTTCTTACACAACCACAACCACACATTTCCACTTTATTCCACTTTCTTAATATCCGTGCCAAGTCAAAGTGGGAATAATTTTTTGGGACGGAGGTAGTAACATATAAAAGATATACCAATAGCAACAGTAACAACTCCACTATTACAGCCGATATCAAGACAATTCTTTCCTTCAAACCATTCTTTCTTCATAGCCTTTAACCTAGGATCGTCCTCATGACCAATCTGTGCACAAGCATAACAAGCAGGTGAATTTCCATTTTGGAACTAATGGAATAACTTCACACTTTTGAAAAAAAGTTTCAACATCAAACATTCCTGAGTCATTTGTATTAAGAAACCGTCAAACAGCTGGAAAAATATAAACTTGAGTGATTGGGCAAGGAGGTTGATATTTGACATGATTGCTTTAGCTGATCAGATATTAACCTTAAAGTAACAAAACAGGTCCAGCAGATGCTTCAAATTCGATAATCCAATGATGTAAATGATTCCAACAATCGGGGGAAGGTAGGGGGTGGAAGCAGAATTGCAGAAACACTGATCTAAGAATTTTCTGGCCAAAGTCTGTACATCGAGTTTTACCTGAGGCAGCTAAACATCATAGGATTTCAAATTTTGCTTTATTATCATATATTTGGGTAGGCAAGCAGGCCCTTTACCATCATCTGTTAGCCATGCTAATGAGGCTGTTTTAAATTGGACTATAATTTCCTGCTTTGGTCTTGCCTGGTCTGAACTGGTCTTGAAGATGTCTAGTCTGTGTGTATTTTACAACTCTCGAAGTCTAGTCTGGTGTGGTCTGTTTAAGTCCGGTCTGGTCTATTTAAGACTAGTCTAGTCAGGGACTGAACTCAATCCAAGTAAAAATATTCTAAATCTCTCCATAACGTTTTATCTTTAATGATATTTCAACTTCCCTTAAATAGTAGATAGTTTTTCTCTTTTCTTATAGCATAAACAGAACCACTATTGAAGAAGCGGAATAAACTTCCATACCTTCAAAGATACATCATGCATGCATATATACATGTATAATAGTAATAATAATATTAATTTAATAATAATAATAACAAGAACAACAAATGCAACAGTAATGATAGTAAAAATCAAATAAAATAACAATAAAAATAATCACTTAAATATGTTGAAGTCACTAGAAAGGTTACTCTGTATCCATAGTAATTTCTGTAGTTCCCAAAGATGGCAACTTCCTTACGCTTCTTATTGTTCGGCTTCGGTGGTTTTTCCTCATCATTGTGAAGATTCTTCATTTTTCCTTCATCTTTCATCGTCTCTGGATGCTAAACCAGTTGAGCAAAACTAAAAACGTTAGGATTAAAGTCAGAGCAAGGAAGGACACAAAAAAATTATTCGAAGATTTACATGCAAAAACAATTATAAAGTCTTCATTATAACCATTCTAAAAATGCTACATGGAAAAGGCAGAAACTCATCAGAAAATTAAATGGAATGTTGATAAGTGTAAAGTTAGAAACACTAGATTTCAAGCTACTTTTTATTATTATTACTACTAAATTGTAAACCATCTAATAAGGTGTATCCCAGTGTAATACTCTCTTTATTTCTTGGCCAAGTAGCGTTATCTAAATCATTTTTAATGTAACAAGAAGGCTGAAAGTAATCCATGAATTATATCAATTGCTTGCAGTCTTCCAGAGCAAACCAGTAGCAAGGTTAGTCTAAAGCATTTATTTATGGAAATTGTTAATGAGAACTGTATTTCAATTTTTAGTAATAAAAATCCAGAAACCCATAGATGACAATACATCGGGGTAAAGAAAAATAATAATCTGATCGCTTCACCATATCAAGATTTGAAATTCAGGCTCTATTTAGATAGAGTGAATAAGTCAAGCTGGTGAACCGTGGATGTAACAGACTAACAACAGATGAACAGAATGTCGATTGGAGTAAAAAAATTCCCAGCTAGGGCAACTGAATGAGAATATAAAACCTCGTCGTGATCTTATAACAAACACATTATATACATTACAAAACATAAAATTTAGAATTAACTTTTTATTATGAACCATCCCAAATTTAAAATAATTGAACAAAACCTGCACGGAAGATATATAAAACCTGAATTTATTGGAGGATGTTAGTGGCTTAGTGCGAAATTTTTACAACATATTTGCATACATTACAATAGTTAAACTTTTTGATTAATATTGTTTATTGACTATCCAACTCTAAAGCAATTGAACATAGCCCAAAAGCAGAATATGCCCTCTTCCTCCCATAAAAATTGACCAAGTTTTATTAAGAGTATAGAGATAATATTAAAGTTGTTACTAAAAAGTAAAGTTAGAAAGTTTTGGAATAAGAAAATCGAACTAAACCCAAAGTGTATAAAATTGTTAAATATATACATAGTACAAAAGGAACATTTTTAACTAAATAGAATGGAAGAAAGAAGACAGGCGGTTGGGGAGCAGCGATTGGCAGTTGGCAGGGGCAGAAACAAGGGGAGCTACCGAGTTAAACGGTGCCGGCGCCCAGTGGCGGAACCAGCTCGGGTGTGTTGGGGGGACACATTAGGCCAATCACTCTAAGAAAGGTTATTCTAATCACTCCAGCATGTCTTGTACAGCGAAATTAACAAGTTATCTACACTCTACAATGATATTAACAAGGAAGCTAACCTGCAGAAAGATGGAGAGTCGGAGACGGGAGTCAGCCGGTTTCAGGGGCGGATCTAGCTTTGGCATTCAGATGGGGCCAAAATTTAATTAAAAATGAATATTCAAAAAATCATTTATTCTAGCAACAAAATCAAAGACAAAAATAAAGATTAGAGGAATAAGAGTTTTCTTTAAAGTCAAATACAAAAACACCATAATTTTACAACTGTTCTCTACGGGTTTTCATCGATTGATATCGTTTTATAATGACATCATTGTCAATTTTCAAGAATATGTCTTTTTCTACATAAACAATAAGTCTATCATTGAGCCATTCATCACTCATCCGGTTGCTCAACCTATCTTTCACGATATTCATTGCTGAAAATACTCTTTCAACACCAACGGTTGAAATAGGAAGAATCAATGCCAATGTCAACAACTTGTAAACTAATCCAGGGTCAGATGGAAGTTGGGAAGAATCAAACTCATTAGCGGTGACCGATTGTAGGATATTTACGTTGTTTTGTTCGTCATTTGTTGTTGAGTTTTTTTGAATTGTAGTTGAGGGCACTACAATTTTGGATGAGCTACTTCCATTAGCTTTTTCTTCAATAGGGTTATAGTATCTCTTCATTACCTTTATTGAAAATAACGGGATGACGAATTACTACACTAATATTAATTAACTTAATAATTAGATTAATAAGAACAAGTCACAAACAAATTCATACTATAAATGATGATTACAATTTACAAGTTTACAAATAATAATCAAATTCATATCAAGCAAAGCTATAATTTAATCTTTAACTTGAATTCAAAACAAAATAAAATTAAAAGATTAAAAAAATACCTCTTAAGCTGGACTTAGCTCCTGGTGCGCCGTCCTGGCCGAGTGGCTGACTGCCTGAGCCCTTGGTGCGCCGTCCTGGCCTAGTGGCCGCCCGGCAGGCGGCAGCGAATGAAGATGGCCGTTCAGAAAGGAAGAAGCGGACTGCTACAGTGCTACTCTTCCCCTGCGCGTTTGGGGTTTTGCGGAAGTAGCCGAAGTCGCGCAGAAAGAAAGGAAGAAGCGGACGGCTGCTCTTCCCCTGCGCCTTGCGGTTTGGACTTCGAATTTGGACTGGGCCTGATTTTTTTAAAAATTGAGACTGGGGCTAATTATTAAACCTATGTACTAGTTTAAAAAATTTTAAAAAATTGAGCATGAATCCGCCCCTGGCCGGGTTGTCTGAATCGCTGCTGGACTTCGACTTCGCTGTTGCTGTTCGAGTCGGTTCTGTCTTAGTTTTTAGCAAGCCACTTCACACATGGGCTGAGTTGCCGACAGGGCCCGGGGCAGGGCCACCGGCACACAACTGAGGGCTTAGCGCTGCTGGGTCATCTGGGTGGGCTAATTGATATGGGCGGCAAGTTAATACATAATACTATGTATCTATCTGTAAATAACACATTTCAAGGTTACAATTAACTAAAAGTATTGTCACATATCAACTCCACAATTACTATTTTAAGATCACTTTTCAAATTAAAGAATCCATACACAAGTAATACTCCTTATTACTTGATAATCGTCCTCTTAATTGCTAAAATATAGGAATCCAATTGATAAAATCCATGTTTTTCTTGAAGTGTTATAACTTTTTTATTTGAACTCCGATTGTTACAAAAACTATAGCAAAATCCACAACTTTTTATTATCTTTCATATGACACTAATATTGTATATATAAAGATAATAAAATATTTTAACACTTTAAAATCATCTATTTTTAGTGCTATTATTTTTTATTTGCACTCTGATTGTTACAAAAGTATTTAATATGAAGTACTAAAAGAGAAGCTATGGACAAAAATATTTAATTTGTTTGAAAGATTTTATAGAGTTTTGAAATACGATCAAATAAAGGTATTAAAAGATTTCAAATCAAGTTTATTTTTGTCATTTGTTATTCTCATACCACCTTGGTAGACAGAATAAAGTCGAATTGTAACGATCAGTAACATGGAAATAGCCAAAATAAGTAAGATTGAAGATATTTTTTCTGATTGAATTGATTGAGGTTACTATAGAGGTCCATTTTACCTGGTTTTCATATATTTTTTTAATTTTGCATTAAACTATTAATAAAATATTAAATTCATAACTTTTTATTATCTTACATATGCCATGAATGTTGCATATATAAAAGTAAAAATATTAGTTCTATTAATTTTTGCAGTTTAGAATCATTTTGGGAAAACTATCAAATAAGCCCCCGTACTATACCGGAAAAGTCGATTAGGCCCTCGTACTTTACAAACACTCAATTAAGTCCCTGAACTATTAAAAAACGTTCAATTAAACCCTTTTGGTGGGTAAGTAACCGATTTTCCGGTTAAACGACGACGCTGGCGACGATGTGCTCGAACCCCAGCAACGACGGCTTTCGGGAAACATGTTACATTTAACCGGGAAACAGGTTACTTACCGACCGAAAGGGCTTAATTGAACGTTTTCTAATAGTTCGAGGACTTAATTGAGTGTTTGTAAAGTACGAGGGCCTAATCGACATTTTCGGTATAGTACGAGGGTTTATTTGATAGTTTTCCCAATCATTTTTTACCAAAAAAAGTGTGAAACTTTTGGAGCGAGTATAAGGGTGGTGTACAAGATTGTGCTAACTATTGAGGGATTAAGCTTATGAGTCACACTATGAAACTTTGGAAGCGAGTGGTTGAGCAAAGACTTCGTAAAAGTGTGAAAATTTCAGAGATTCAATTTGGTTCATGTCTGGACGCTCAACAACTGAGGTCATTCACCTTCTTAGAAAAGTTGTGGAGAAGTATAGAGACACTAAAAAGGATCTGCATTTGGTGTTCATTGACGTAGAAAAGGCATATGATAGGGTACCTCGAGAAGTTCTTTGTCGGACCTTAACTAGAAAAGGCATATCATGTAAGTATATCAGTATCATAATGGATATGTATGATGGTTGTACTACAAGTGTCCGCACTAGTGTAGGGAGAACCGCGGAGTTCCCTATTACTATCGGAGTGCACCAAGGATCTGCTCTGAGTCCTTTCTTATTTGTTATAGTCTTGGATGAACTTACGAAGTCAATTCAAGAAGATATACCATGGTGCATGATGTTTGCCGACGATATTGTATTAATTGATGAGACACAATCTGGTGTTAAAGCGAAGTTGGAAGTATGACGACAAACTTTGGAGAGCAAGGGTTTCAGATTGAGCCGAAACAAGACTGAGTATATGGAGTGCAAGTTCGGTGGAGGTAGAAGTGGTAGCAACAGTGGGATTACTCTTGATGGTAAGGAGATACCGGTGTGTGATATGTTCCGTTGCTTGGGTTCCATAATTCAGAAGGATAGTGAATTAGATGAAGATGTATGCCATAGAATTAGAGTTGGGTGGATGAAATGGAAGAGTGATTCAGGATTTCTATGCGATCGAGGTATGTCGACTAGACTGAAAGGTAAATTTTATCGTACAGCAATTAGGCCGGCATTAATGTATGGCGTAGAGTGTTGGGCAGTGAAGCAATGCCACATTCAAAAGATGAGTGTGGCAGAGATGCGTATGTTGCGTTGGATGTGTGGACATACCTGAAAAGACTGCTTGAGGAATGAGGTAATCAGACAAAAGGTGGGAGTAGCACCTATAGAAGATAAGATGCAGGAGTCTCGTTTGCGGTGGTTTGGCATGTGCGTAGAAGACCGAGTGATGCACCTATTAGACGACTTGAGGGGCAGGGAGAAGAGGCGGAGAAGAGGGGGAGAGGAAGACCCAAACAGACTTGGATTAGAGGAATCAGAACTGATATGCGTCTTCTTGGGTTGAATGAAAGTATGGCTTTGGAGAGAGGAAAGTGGAAGGCGCACATCCGTGTGGACGATTGATGTCTTGTCTACCTTTCCTCTATTTTTTATTTTATCGTTTATATTACTCATCTTTTTATATTCCTATGTTATTTTTATCTTCTAGCTTTTTCATGCTCTTTTATTTTTTATCTTTTATCTTTCTTATATTCTTGTGTTATTGTTAGCTTATATTTATTTATCTTTATTTTATTCATTTTATCTTACTTTTTCTTTTTCTTCCCTTTCTTGTCCGTCTTCTCTTTTTGGCATCGATATCATAGATCGTGTTGAGTATGTTGTTTTGTTGATGACTAACCATGCAGGTGGAACCGCGGACAGAACCGCTCACAGTTCCTTACGGAACAAGGACAGAACTATCCTCAAGACCAAATGGGTATTATTAGTGTGTTGTTGACTAACCATGCAGGTGGAACTAATGCAAAACCATTTCTAGTTCCGTGATATGATTTGAATTAATATTAATTGCACCTACTTGATTTTCAATTAATATACTTTCCTTATATGAGTGCTTATATTTGTCAAGAATATTATTTTAAGTAAAAGTATCTTTCTATGCATGTCCACTCTATATATACGTATTTTGGTTATATGAGTACTTATTTGGGTGGTTATTATCTTTCCATAGTTGACTAGACATCCACTCATTAAATATTGTTTAAATACTTTATGGAAAGTATCTTTACTTAATGTGAGTGCATGATCCATATTTTATTGGCTATATACGTAGCATGCTTGTAATTGATTAACAAATATTTTATTGCCTTACAATTTGAAAATTCATTCTTTATTTGAATATCAAATGAATATTTTTGGAGCAAAGAATCATGATTTACGTGGCAATAATTAAGCTTGCTTGTATATATTGATAAGTTAACCTTTATGGAAAGGAATCCTTGCTTTTAATTACTTTGTGACCGTAGCATGATGTGTACTCCTTTGGTTTGAAAAAGGTGATCATTAGCTATATGTGTAAAAGGAAAGTTACATTTGAAATATTACGCGTTGTCCATGCATATCTATATTTGCTAAGTAATCATTGCTACCTTCCACTAAAATTATTTTAATAAAAGGTGATTGCTCGATTATAATATATGTGATCCATCCTTTTATATGGACTGATATTAATGATGACAATATTCGAGAGTTATGGTGCTCAAAATAGAAGGAAAGTGATTCAAAAGTATCAAGGCAAGACCACAAGTTTTAAGACAATTATTTATGGAAGGCTGCCCAACGGACTACTCCAAGACAGCTATATATGCCGAAGATCAATAGAAGAATGGTGTGCTTGACCGAGCTTCTATTGAGAAATATACACGAGAATATTTACTAAGTCCAAGGCACCTGAACCTGCTCACGGAGTTCCAGACAGAGTTTCTTTTTCCCTTCTTCATATTGTAATTGGGTTTTTGAGGATTGACTAAGTGTAGCATCCTCGGGTTGGTTAGTGTGTTGTGAGAGCTTTGTTGTAAAGCTGAGAGGCTCTCTACCCGCAAGGTAGAGATGCATAACTCTTCCTAGAGAGGATAGAGTTGGGGTGGCTCAAGGGTAGACTAGGAGAGTTTCCCTTGTAATCATTCAAAGGCTTTTTAGTGGAGTTGTTCAAATTCCTCCGAGGGAGGTCGAGGTTTTTTAACCCCTTTGAGCCAAGAGATTTTTCCTCGTTAAATCCATGTGCACTTTACTATTTCGTAATTCCCTGGACCCCACACTAGAACTGTGCGAAAAACTGCCACGGTTCCACACACACACACAATTCACCCCCCCCCCCCTCTTGTGTTGCTAACCGTTTCATCAATTGGTATCAGAGCCGGTCTTCGCCACATAAAGGTTAATACCTTGGGAAGAGATCCGGTAGCATGAATACGGTTGAACGATTGGAGGAAGGATACTCCACTCAACGACCACCGTTGTTCAACGGCAAATTTTACCAATTCTGGAAGAGTCGAATGGAGAACTTCATCAAGGCTGAGAACTACCAGGTATGGAATGTAATTGAGGTAGGCGATAACATCATCACTAAGGAGGATGCCGAAGGTAAGGTTATCCCTAAACCCAAATCTGAATATACTTCTGATGATTATCGTAAACTCGAGCATAATGCCCAAGCATTGAAATATTTGATTTGTGGACTTGGTCCGGTTGAGCACAACCGGGTTCTTGGATGCAAATCCGCAAAACAAATGTGGGATTTACTCGAGGTTACGCATGAGGGTACCTCGCGTGTAAAAAGATCCAAAATTGACATA